TGCCTCAAAAAACTCCAGAACCTTACTAACCTTGCTGCTACATTTATATAATATAATATTAAACAAAGTAACCTGATTTAGTTGGTCATTAGGAGATTAGACATGTCTGCAAAAGCTAAACAGTTCAAGGAATAGTAGCAGAAAAGGAGAGCGCTGGCGCTACAACTCATTTAAAATGGCACCTATTGAAAACATGCCTTACCAAACCACATTGAGTGAAGCAAAAGTTAAGGGAATTTGGCAAGTGTTGAATTGTAGTGAAGTAACACTGCACCTTAAGTGAAAACAGTATACCGGTAATTGGTTTCCTGCATTGGGCACTATGTAGAAAAATAAGGCTTGAGCCACTGTACTTATATGTCTATGAAGATTCTTGTACTTATATGTTGTCTATGAACTAATGTGCAGGGATTTGACTTTTCTTAAAACACATACTTTTCAACCAGACGTCCTATGCTGAAAATTCATAATGAACGAGTGTACAGCTCCTGGTAGTATCACACCGTCACACGATCTTAAAAAGATTCATATTGAAATATATTTTCATTATAAAAAGTCTAATGTCTAAATTCCTAAAACAGCTGGTTATTGCGGTTTTTAGCAAATGTTACTTAAACAGGAGGAAATAGTGCATTAGTTAGGGACTATTTTCAACGGTGGATTAATCTACATTTGGTGCTCTAATGTATTTCCGGTAGAAAGACAGTGTATTTGGGAGTAGAAGCCCTCACTGTCCATTAACAATAGAGCTGTCACTGGTCTAAGAAACCAGAAACCAACACAGACAACAATTAATATTAATTATTAGCTCAAAACTACTCAGTTAAAACCCAACATGTAAACCTTAACTGCTTTTTATGAAGGTTTATTTGTAGGAAAGATTGTTTTCACGCCATCAGAAAGCTACACCAAGGATTTTGAACAAAGCAGGATAAAAATTCCCGGCTTGCAGTGAAAACCATCAATGCTCAACAATTTTGGAGCTCAGCTGCCAGTGTAGCCCTCCGCCATAGATGGCAACAAGCTCTTTATTTAATGGGTTCAAGAACAGCTTGCTCTCTTACTGTGGAACATAATAACCACATTTGTAAGCGTAAAGCAGGGTTTTGAATGTAATCATTCATCTTGAGTTACCATGTTGTCGTTCGGACATCAAGGCTCTCCAAGGCTTGCACTCTCCGCAGCAATCCACCTAGAGCTCTGGGTCCTAATAATGGGACCACAAAGGGCCAACTTAAAAAAATTGCAGTAGATAATAATGCGCGAGTCACAGCCGTTTTCTCCAGTTTGCTTTGACTGTGTTAACTAACTATTACTATTTAACTATTTATGTGTGCCACAGTCATAGCAAACAAGAAGTCATTATGAACACGCTGGCATCTCAGCGGGTCCTGTAACAAAAGTAACCATTTCCTCCCTTGAAATAACTTGAAATTTCACCCCTCATTCTGATCGGCCGGCGGGAGCAGTTTAGGGTCTGATTTGATTTCCTCTGACACATTTATTTCTAACCAAACATTAAGTGTGTTCTAAGGACAACTCTAATTTCCGGTGTCGAAATACGTCGGGGTCACATTACAGCACAGCACATTGTGCAGCATTTTAAAGAATGTCACTGAAGCTTGTTGTGGTTAAAGCATGACTGTAATAGTGCAGATAATGCTGGTGATTTTCCACTGGCCTGTGGTGATTTGACCATTGCAGAGCTGTGTGTGTATGTGGGGGACACTCGCCTCCAAAGTTGCATGCTTCCAGTATAAATACACATGAAGGAATATATGAATGTATATTACATTATGGATGTTTTTTTAATGGAGGCAGTGCAGATATTCTACAATAATATTAAATAATGCTTGGAAGTTCAGCCTCCAGCAGGAGAAACACGAAGGCTGTTTGGGTAGAGAAGAAATTGTAGAAAATAAATTCTGGTTTGTTACTAGTCATCATGTTTAACATGAGCAAATTGTGAACAGTAATGTAGTTTCAGAACGTACAGTTTACTTTGCTGGTTATAATGCAATTGGTGGAAGAAATATCAACTGCAATAGAAAATAATGAATATACAGTGAGGGTGATATGTCTTGATCTTAAAAACCATTTCATATTCCAAACTTTCATTTATTTGAAACTTCTAAACAGTTGTTTTGATTTTACAATCTACACCTGTGAAAAAGCTTGAGATTTAATTAAATTCATAATCTTTGGTAACTGTATAATAGATTCACAAAGGAAACTGATGATAAATTATGTTAAAACTGAATGTCTGAGTGTCTGAAATATTTTTTGAGTCCACAAAGACAGTTGCAATACTGATTAAAGATTTCATTACTCAGGCTTTATTTTCCACTGTTGTGTGGAGGTATGAAGGAAATACATATAAAACAAATTCAAATCCAATTGATATTTTTTGTCGTACAGTGTGAGTGAGTGATGGTATGATGGCGCAACCATATTAAACAGCCTGTTTTGGAAGTCGAACAATGCTTTATAACTCTTTATAGCACAAAGTATATTCTCCAGGTCTGCATAAATGCGACAGTCCACATGACATAAATTTTATCTGCCCATGTCTGTGCTAGTATGTGCAGGCATCCATGTGTAACCTTAACTACAGAGATGCCCGTACCTATAAGTTTTAGACTATATCAGGGTCTTTAGACTTGGGACAAAAAATTAATTTATGCTAACAATAATTGATCTAGTGTCAGGAATTCAGGATTATTGGGCACTTCCTTTGAATATACAGTGATATCTGTGAAAAAACATCTATGTTGGTGACCCAAGAACTTTTTGTACTTGCCAGTTAATTTCAGAACCATCTTTTGTAATATTTGTTGAAATTCTCTTTACATCCCAACAGCAATCAATAAATCAAATGCTCTGACATGAAAATGAAAAAAATCTGGTATCTGTGGCTGTCACAGGACTGTAATAAGCACGGCCTACCTGCCTGTCTACGTGCACACTCTGCCCAGGCACTCACTGCGCATGAACATGTGTTTTGGAGGAGTGGCTTTGAAGGAGGACTGAAGGGAGGGTTTATTTTCGGGTTAGATACTTTCAAAATCTAGCTGTCTTTTGCTGGTTCTCCATCATTGTCTACCCCAGCTTTAAGTCAGACTATCCACTTACATCATTGTAAACCCTAATAAAGGGTCCCCTGATGTGACTATAACATTAGTAATCCATCCTTGTCTCTATATCCTGCACTATATTCACTCGGACCACTGTGATTCCCTCACATCATGCCACTGTCTTGCTTTGGCCAGTGGTAAAGCTGTAAAAAAGGAAATTTAGCATAACAACATCATTAATACATGAGTGTAATTAACATTTGTGTTGGAACAAACAGAAAACCTGCTTTTTCCTGCACATCCTCACACCTTAATGACAGAATAGGTTGTTTGCCAGTTACTCCGAAAACAACATATGACTGTTGGAGTGTACCAGCGACAGGTGTACTGGACCTTCCTCTCCATGGTAACAATAATAAACACATGATTAACATTGGGAAATAGTTGCAGTTTGGTTGGGTTTAGGAAAAGATCGTGGTTTGGGTTAAAATAAGTACATTAGTTACGTAAGTTAAGTTACTTCACGTGTAACTTACTAATCTAACTTAATTTACATAAATAACTTATATTAAGTGCAGTTATTTACAGAAGAATTTTCAGTTTTAAAATGGACAGCACCAAAAAGGGTATCTGCTGTGATAGTCTAAAGGATCACTTTCTAGATTACTTTCTATAAAGAACCCTTTGGTTTTGAGTTTATAGATCTCAGCTGATCCAGTGTGCTGCTGCAGGAAACCTTCATCTACGAGGGACAACTCAGAAATCTCACTTTCCTGCATGTACAGTAGTGAAGCCTGGTTGTTTCTGGTGTTTAATATATATATTATATTTATATCATTTTTCACTGAACTTGCACTGCAACGTAGGTGTTTGTGTATCATTTACAATGCCAATATAATTACGAATGTGCTCTTTAATTTTACTAATCTGCAAATTGAATTGCCATTCATAGTTTGATTCAAATCACCTGAAACACGGTGTTGGCAATTTGCCATTGGAAAATGTGTGTGTTGTAAAAGGGATTACAGTCTGTTATACAGTATACATGTAGTATTCTTTGCACATTATGGCACTGAGTGTGTGATATTTTTGGGGATGTAGAAACTGAACAAATCAGTCTTTTCTCCTCGTCAGCTATTGTGTTTAGCTGAGAGGCCAAGACGCTGTGTCCTCAATCTATTTCCCAGGCTGGGGCTCTGCATCGCAGCTTGAGAAGCCCAGGTTCCCTTTAGTCGCTCCCTTTTTAGCCTCCTTTTTACCTTTTTTAAACAATGCATCCTGCTCCACTCCAAGCAGCAGACCCCCAAACACTCAGTGAATAAAGTTAGTCCAACATGCAGCCCTTAAACCCACCCCAAGACTGCTGCGGGGCAGCCACACTCGCAGAATTGTTTGTTAATAGTCCAATTAGATAATTGCCATCTTTCACTCCTTTTCCTCTCTGTTTCCCATAAAGGCATGAATGGCACTCAGGGAGGGGGGCAGCTTGAAGGGGGCTTCTGGCCAGCTAAGGTGACAAGAAGGACCAGAGAATGCTCCTTGCACTAGGCCACTGGTTTGAATTGAATCATTGTGGCTTAATCAATGGTCTTATTGGATTACTGGCCACTGCTGTGTTCAGAGATATTGTTGCACTGACAATGAAAATTGCTAAGAGTTGGTGGGTGGGTAGTGGGCTGAAAGGCGAGTGGTGGAGAGAGGTAGGGCCATTCCAGAGGTATGCGTGTGTATGCGTGTATGTGTGTGTGTGTGTGTGAGAGAGAGAGAGAGAGAGAGAGAGAGAGAGAGAGAGAGAGAGAGAGAGTGTAGGCAGCCTAAGCACTAATGACAAGTTTTGTTCCCTTTCTTTGTCTTTTTCAAATGCGCAGGTTAAGATTATGAGAGCTGAAGATGGCTTCTGGGGTGCAATCATTTGAATACTGAAGGATGTGGCATTAGCGGTCAGGACCTCACTGGGTTACTCTGCGTAGCTCTCTGAATGAACACAGGACGGCACAGGAAACTTTAACACAATTCCCGTTAAAGCAGAGTACGGTGTTGGCTGGGTCAGTGCCTTCATAAATTTTGATCGCCGTGGATTTGTTCAGTATTTTTTCACCTGTCTCTCTCTCTCCCTCTCTCTCCCTCTCTCCCAGTGTCTCTTGTCTACAATAGCATAGTGGCGAGATCTGCACATTGCAGAATTCCGTTGATTGGTGAGACAAGCAAAGGGAAAACGGGATCAAAGTTTGCTGACATGCTGTGGCGATCAGGTGCGCGGTGAAAAGTTGGGGGGGAGGGGGTCTGGCCGTGTTCTGCCGGCGGAAGAATGAAGCACCTGGGAACTTTTTTCAGGTCTGGAAGACTCGTATCCCTGTGATTGAGTGCGTTCATGTGGGGTTCAGGGATGCTTGGTTGCGAGACAAGACCAATCATTTGTCTTGATTCTCTGGGCTGAGAACAGGCTAACTGAGGGGGACGGAATGAGCAAACCCCTCTATCAAGACCTGATCTATTTCCCCAAACAATTTAGTGTATTCATGAGGTTACGCTAATGTGGAGGCAGCAAAATTACCGTAATCAATTGAAACAGCGAGTGCGCATCCATGGCTCTGATTATTTGGAGATCATCTATCAGCCTGATGTCTATGTAAGAAGGAAAGGGGGGCATTGAATTACTGTTGAGTTTCACTGAGAAGTCCATGATCATTGGGCAAGGGAGTTTGGTCAGTGATAATAGGGCTCCTTGGTCGGGCGACGGAAGTATTTCACCAAATATTAGATAGCTGACTCTGCCCTGCTGAAAGGTGCTGTTTTGAAACTAAAACCCACACTGTCCAGACGATCCGGTGTGCCGTGTTCTCTGTAATCTCCTTTTTTACGACAAAGGAAAAAAGAGGCGGACAAGTTGCAGGTCCAAGAGGATAAACTGAGCATGGAGGTCAGGTACAACCAAGAGACGGAAGGGATGGGGCTGAAGAATGGACTAAAGAAGGGGAAAGATGACAAGGACTCCCAGAGCACCTTGTCCAAAAGCTTTCTCAAGGACCAGCAGGACTCCTTTTCCCCTTCTGGGACCGTGGAAAACTGTGAGAAGAACAGGGGGAGCACGGGGGACCCGGACTACTGTCGGAGAATACTAGTCCGAGGTAATGGTTGTTTTTTTTTTAAGAACTTGCAGTGTGGTACTTCAGAGATCATACAAATGAATCTTATGAAACATTGGAGACAAACAGTCTACAGTCTGCTGTTAGATTACATGCATTTTAGAATCAGGAATATCTGATGTCTTCAAGAACAAAGTTGAAAAATGAAGCCTGTGTAAAATCAGGCAGTGGTTGTTAATACATAAAGAGACAGTTGACAATTAATATATTTTATTGTTTAATTAAGAAGATTTCACTGAACGTATATTAATATTGTGATTTTCAATTTACATTTATGGAGGCTATTTAAAATAAAGATGGTTACCTCTGGGAACACTATGAGTACAATTGTAGGAACATAAAAATGTAAGACAAATACATTATCTGTCATGAAAAAGAGCTAATTGTTATGAAAGAAATGTATCTTTAATTTTAGGCCTTACTGTATGACCACAGTCATTTTTTTAGATATTTTGTTAAACACTATAATGAGCTAAATATTTCTTCAGATTTCATTCTTAAATAAATCCTAATGTTAAATTTTTTTTAAAAATGTTCAATGTCCCTGTGTAAATTTAAATGTGTGCAAGGTCTTGCATTTAAAGAGAAACACCTACAGGGTTTATACTGTATGTACTGCATTACATTTTCAGGGTAAAAAGATTAAAATTATAAATATTTCATTTAATACCATTGAATATTAGAGTTTTTACAGATATTTAATGTCAACAAATCATATGTGGAATTGTGTGTATGAGTGACAGTGGCCCAGTGACTAAATAATGTAATTTCTTTCATGCATTGTTGGCCCAACATTCAGAGTGTATGAACACAAACTAGAAATATAACTTCAACAAAAACAGAGGATTAATTACGCAAAATATAACGAGACAGAGCAGCCTCAGTACTTAAAATATACATCAAGGTTTTCTATTTAAATACTTTATTGTATTTATCAGTTATTTATTATTCATGTTTTTGATTAATAATAAAATAATTATTAATGAATTTCTTGGAACATTGCAACCACTTTTATTTGCCATGATTTAAAATTATAATTAATTTAATACTAGCTTTAAAAAATTGTTAGTAGAGATTGGGTTTATTTTAATGTTGTCGACAGCACCCATTGTTGTAATTTCTCCTTTGTGGTTAACAAATGAACCACAGCATATTCATTTTTGTTTTTATGTGATCTTCACTCATTAGGTGTACACATTTGTAAACACTTTATTTACATATTCATGTATTTTATTTAAGATGTCTCCATTGAACTCATACCAATTAACAGAATAGTTTTGCATTCATGGGATTTAATCCAGACTGATATTTTCCCCCTTAGTAATTTAAAATGTAGGGTGTTGTAAACTACTACATGTAATGCATAATTTAAACAAACAGTATTTGTACATTATGTTACATTTAGTCCACAATTACTTAGATTGAATTTAATAAATAAAATCTCAATTTGAGTTCTAAGTACTTCCACTACTGTAATCTATAATAATAATACTATATAATAATATAATAAGTTTCACATAATTAAGTCTATGTTAACATAAAACAGTCTAAAACTAGGAAAATATTGCATTTATCCATTCTTATTGTTACTAGCTCTACTCTTTGCCTCAGCATTGTTCATTTAAAGTGCTAATTGTTGCAGATGCTAAAGGCTCTATCCGAGAGATTATCCTGCCGAAGGGTTTGGATTTGGACCGGCCCAAGCGAACCCGCACGTCCTTCACTGCAGAGCAGCTGTACCGGTTAGAGATGGAGTTTCAGAGGTGCCAGTATGTGGTTGGGAGGGAACGGACAGAACTGGCCCGTCAGCTCAATCTGTCTGAAACTCAAGTATGTATGCACTGAACTTGTACCACCTAGATTGAAAACATTGTGAATTTATTATGTGTCTGTGCAAAAGACATAATGGATGCTTTTGTTTTTAACTGAAATAGCAATAATGTGCAGTGTCAATTTAATGTACTTTTCTGTGTGTCCTTTATCTTTTTAAACCAAATACTACAGTTAAAGCAGTTTGTTTATTTTAAAAGGTGCATTTTTTGTCCATATAATTTAAATAATTTGAGGCAAGGTGGAAATAAGACTTTTGTGTTTCACAGCTGATCATTAATACAAATATAGGCCTGTTGTATAAGCACTGCTGCTGTAAATAAAGCTTTAATGGCACCACTAATCATTAAAAACCTGTAATTGTTGTCAAGTGTTAGTATTTACAGACCTGTCAGTTCATTTAGGAGTGCTCGCAGGTTCTAATTCAGTTTTTGGAATAAGAGCATTGTGGTGACCTTTTGGTTTATATTTAGATTATTGTTTAGATCATTACTTAGATTGTACATTTAAGGATGTCCCACAGAAATATTTCTAATTGTATGTATCCCTTTAAAGTAAATGTAATCATCTGGCCGGTACAGTGCTGAAATAGCTTATTGAATGTTTGACGTCATTATCTGAAGCTGCTAAAATAAAACCAATAGAAAATGCGCAGACTTCCACCTCATGCCATACATGTGGGGTCAGCAGTGGGTCATGCAGTGTCCGCTGTGAGAGAACTGCATTTGCACTCCGTGTTTGACACCAGATTTTAAAACAAGTCACCTGGTAATCCTGTATGATTTGGACTTAAGGCAACCCTGGCCGTCTGCTGCAAAGCTTTGGTGTATTTTCAGCTCGAGTTTCATTCATCTGTTTATTTATTTTTTAAAAAGTGCAAAACGGCTAACGGTGCCATCGGCTTGGTCTTTGGTGCTAATGTGTTGTGGCTTTCAAAGCAGCTCTCGCAGACCTCCACTCAAGGTCAACCTTTTCTCACAAAACGACACCACAACCAACAACTTTAATCTGTTTGTTGATGTACAACAAGGTCACTGTTCCTTTTAATAATAGCTCTGCACATTTTACTGACTTATTTGCTTAAATTTTTTACATTTTAAATGTTTTAATATTTCTCTTTTTTATTTGATCAACACAATTGCTGCTTTTCTTTTTCACATGAATTCAAAACGAGTTAAGTGTCTGAAGATGTTATTTTGCTCACATAAAGGTAATATAGAGAACAACCTTTGCTCCCTATTTAGGCAGGACAAAGGCTTAAGGATTTTCTTCCAGTGTATGCTTCTTGTCCTGATGAAAGGCCTTTTAATGAAAACATGGAGAAATTAACATTTTGTTCCCTGTCACTCACAGGTTGCTACATTAAGGCCATTTGCTGTGTGCACACCTAATCATCTTTGTGGGAGTTACCAGCTTCATCTTGTTATTTTTTTCTATGTAACCTCTTTACAACAGAAAACATGGGATTGAGCGGCAGGACTTCTTCTCTTGACGCAAAAGACTGTTAACAGCTAGTGAAGAGTTAAACCACCTACTGAGGTGTAGGAAAAAATATTCAAATGTGACTGGACTAGCATTAGGACTGAGCTGGAAGCTTGCTGCTGATTGGCACATGTACGTTTTGTTCCATATGAAAGCAATTAGGTGTGATTACAGGAGACTTACAGTTACAATTCATAGAAAACCCTGTATTTGTTTCAGTTTTGACATGAATTAAATCAAGAAGATTTTGTGAAACAATGGATATGTCAGAATAACTAAATGCATCTGTTGAGACAGATGAATGACTTTATTGAACCTGTTAAATTACAAGGTTGGTGCTCCTGCACGAACCACTAAGAGTGCATTCTTTTTTTCCACCCTTAACTATGAATTTATAGAGAAGGAGTTTTTTCCTCTTTCTTGTGATACTCCATTAACTGCATGATATATACTGTACATGTTTCCAACAAAATCTCAAAACTGTGAGAAATATTTCTGAAACAAAGGAAAGCTTAAAATTCTCAGAAACAACAAGAAATACTGATCAGATATTGTAATTTATTCCAAGATGTAATTATGATTAATAATAACATCTGTGTAATTCTAGAGGCTAAAAATCTCATAATGCTAACTAAAAGAAGGTGCATGTCATTGAAGTCAGTTAATGGTGGCCATTTTGAATGTGGAGACAGAAAGAATGAAAAGTGGAACAGAACAGTTGAATGTATTATCCAGGGTTTAAAAAGTGCGGTGTATCTTTACATCAACTGTAAACTAACAACATTAGCTCTCCAACCGACTATTTTTCCCATGATTAATTTGATTGTCATTTGATTTTCAAATAAACAAGAAATTGTTTAGTCTGTAAAATGTCCCCAGAGTTTGATGGTGACATCTACTTCATTTCTCAAACCAAAAAGTCTAACAAGATATTAAATTTACATTGATTTAAAACAGAGAAAATCCACAGATCCTCACATTTGAGGAGCAGACTCCAGCAAATGTTTGGATTTTTTGCTTGATAATTGACACCTATCGTTAAGCAATAAAACCAACCAATAAACAATTCAATGGTTGTAGGAGGTTTTTAGTGCCACTTTTATGTAGGTTTTCAAAGATAAAATTACACATGGGAGCTAACTTTGGATCTCAGTTCATGCATGAACCTTTTGTAGTGGACGAGGTTAAGAAAGTTAAGTAGTGGTTTATATATGCAAGGCTATCTTTGAGTTTTGAATTAACCTCCTGCCACTTCGCCACAGCAAGGCCTTCCCTCCATGACTGAATGAAATCATTGTAGCTTTTGATCAATCCCAGTCTAGTCATTAGCTGGTGGACCGTGTGTATGTGTGTGTGTGTAAGCTTACCTGCATATATAGCTACTATAGATTAGTATCTGAAAGTGCGTTTAGCAGTCTACTTAATCTATGAACACAGAGTTGTTATCTCCGAGTACTGAGATTATCAGATTATTGCGGCACTATGATCACAGGCCTTTTTACAGTGTAAAGTATGAGTGGATGTGAATTTTTGCAGCTTTTTTTATTGCTATAATACCAACATTAGAAAAGGTTTTTCAAAGTTATGCTGTTATTTGTGTTTAAATTCATATTTTCTTCCACATACAGGAAATATTTAATAAATAATGAACTTTAAATTACACATTACATTTAGCATGTGTCTCAAACGGCTCTCTTCTGTGTTCCTCTCTAGGTGAAGGTCTGGTTCCAGAACCGGCGCACTAAGCAGAAGAAGGACCAAGGGAAGGACTCTGAGCTGCGTTCAGTGGTTTCAGAAACAGCAGCAACCTGCAGTGTCCTCAGACTGCTAGAGCAAGGTCGGCTGCTGACGCCTCCGGGCTTGCCGGGCCTTCTGCCCCACTGTGGCAGCGGCACACTGAGCTCCGCCCTGCGCCCTCCCTCCATGGCCATGGCCAGCAACGGCAGCAGTAGCAGCAGCAGCAGCGGCAGCAGCAGTGGCACGGCGGGCAGCAGCCCTCCTCTACCTGCAGTCACTAGCTCAGGGACAGTGGCGGGCCTGCAGAGCTCACCAGCGGCTCACAGCCTCTTCAGCTTCCCTATGCCCTCCTTACTCAGCGGCGTCGCCACCCGCATTTCCTCCAACCACCTGTCCATGGCTGGCTCACTGGCTGGCAACCTGCAGGAACTTTCTGCCCGCTACCTGAGCTCCTCTGCTTTTGAGCCTTACTCGCGGACCAATGGCAAAGAATCACTGGACAAGAAAATTCTGGAATGATGCTTTGTTTTTACATAGATGGCTTCCTGTTTCGCCTGGACATGTTTTCTTGGCTTTTACTGTCCTTGTTTGGTTTTGCTCATCCTCTTTCATCTGTCTATGTCATGTTCTGTAGCAGTTCATGTATTCCACTTGCACATCTGGCACCTTGTTCAAGGAAGAAAACAAATACACAAAACAATCTCATCTAACAAAGACAGGGTGGCAGTGGAAAGATTTTGCCCAAAATCTATATATAGGACTTTGTTACAGAGATTTAGAGAGACACATTCTGAGGAGATTACTGAGGGACCCTTCAGGTTTCTGTTAAACAAATGTTTAGTCCTATCTTTTAATCTAAAATAACAATATATACAGGGGCCCAGAGAATATGGCTGCTTCATAACACAAAATATCTATTCCTCCAAGAGAAGTAGTACATAGTGTATAGGAATGGTGACAGAAAGTGTAAAGTGCTGGTCCTTTCTAAATTGTGCATTATTATTTGATTGTGTTGGGTAGATGCATGTCACTGCAGTGAGTAGATGTAGAGACAGAAAGAGAGTTGTCAAACACCTGAGCAGCAGTTTGTTCTGTGAGATCCAATCAGCAAATAAAAAAATAAATAAAAATTGCAGCATTATGAATGAACAAGCAAGGTCGATTTCTCAACATAGAATTGGGGGAGAAAAAAGGGCCTCTGTTTGAAGGTCACTGCAAGGCCAGTGTCAGTACAAAACCCAATGCATCTGACGCGTGAATGCAATTTGCTTATGCAGATGCCTCGCAAAAATTCAGTTTACAAAAAAGTCTTTTGTATATGTGTTTGTACTGAGTTTGGACCAAACCAAAACATAATCCATAGACGGTGTTGTCATACTGTATGATGGTTCAGTTGTTCAGTGTTGTTTTCTCTATGGTTTAGTGAGGATTTTAACATTTTATGACTAAAGTCTTCACTTTGTGGTTTTTCCGTCTTCAAGATGCAGTACCTGACTTTTTTGTCTGTGATTTAAATACCACTGTGAGTTCTCAGAGTTTTGATGTACAGGTTCTATTTCATGCAGGAGCAAGCGCAGGAATGAGCTGCTGAAAGGGGGGATTCTTGAAGAAAAGCTTTTCAGCATTAGTAAGCTGCTTGCTTTGTTGAACACTACAAGGTAACAGGTTTTATTAAGACAATATAATAACCTTTCCTTCTTGTGTAAAATTTTCAAAATCCACAGCCTTCATAAAAGATTTAGGCAGAGCACTGCATGTGGAGACTGAATGGAATTATTGTAGTATAAAAGTACTGGAAATGGGAAACGTACCTTAAAATTGTTATTTTATTGTAAATTATTCACTTCTGTAAGTAATAGATTATTAGTATATCTGGAAAATAATGAATGGATGAATGTATTAGCAGGGTTGAGGAATCAATCAAAAGCTCTTTGGTGCTGTTGTTGTGAAATATCTTGGAATTTGTGAAATATGTGGTTCAAATGTTCATATATATCATGTATATGGCTACATACAAAGACAAATGTGTTTTTCATTTTCTTTCATACATGTTGCTATGAATTCGAGTTATGATAAATGTCATGACTGGTACAGTATACTTCATACACCATGGCCTGATGTGTCTGCTCCTGAACGCTTTTTTAAGATTTTTGGTAATGCGACAGTGTTATTATTACCACTAACCTTCGAGCAGAGTGGAACGACGTGTAGAACTTCTGGTTATAATAGCAGCATGACAAATTGGAAGAGACGCTCCAAAAAACAATTCCAGGAGTACTATCAGTGGGCAATAAAATAGATTTCCTTAGGACTGCAACTAATTATTTTCATTTATCAATTAATCTGGCAATGATTTACTCAACTAATCGTGTGATCTCAACAGTGTCAGAAAACAATGAAAAATGCCTGTCCCAGTTTCCGAGATGACATTGTTTTTTTAGAACCAAAATATATTCCATTTACAAAGATCTAAAACAGAAGACAGCATCAAATCCAAGCTGGAATCAAAGAACGAATAACCTAAATGATTACTCAATTATTGAAAGTAGTTCCTTATCGATCAACTAATCAGTTAATTGATTATTTGTATCACCTCTATATTTCTATATTTAATTGCCTAAAATGGTATAGCTACTAGTTTGTGACCAGTGCAGGAATGAAGAAACCCCTTTCACTTTTTTGCATGTTTTTATGGTGAAAAAAATCATGTAACATATTTTCCTTGAGAGGTATTATTCTCCTAAAATACAATAGAACTGAACTTCAATCAAAGACAATGAAGTAAAGGACAGTTTTCTTTCTTTCTTTTAGTAGTATCAGGTGTCTGTCATTGAAACTAAATTAATAATACACCATTTTCCATAGAATGTCAATGGACATCATTATTATGAAAAGAAAAAAAAAGTTATAATACTAGATTGATATAAATTCATGTACACACAAGAAATACCATTCACAAAGTTTGACCAAGAAAAAGCACATCTCAAGTTAAGATATTTTCTGTTTTTTAAGGGGTTGAAGGACCTTTAATTTCATTGTGCCCCCCACCTCTGAAAACCAAACCCACAAGAGGATTAGTTTACTATGCACTCGTAATCTGTATGCTTACTTGGACTGAGCTGAGAGGTAATAACAGGACAATGCCTATTGAACTGTTAGGAAAGGTGCTGGGTGAGCCTGGTGCGTCGTGGTTGTGATGTGTAGCACAACAGCTTTACGGGTTCCACCATTAACAACAAAACACCTCCCCTGGACGATAAAAAGACCCGAGACCCGAATTCTTTTTTCAACACACATAAAGACACCATATCTGAAAACAACTCAGAAAACAGAATATAGAGTCATTTGAATAATCCAAGACCAACAGTAGTCCTCATCAAGCAGTTGAGGATATGGATCAGAAGCACTGCTGTAGTAGTGTACCGTGCTGAATTATGGTTTATGTCTGATGTTTCCAGTGGTAGAAGTACTGTAGTTAAGCATAATTTTGAGGAACTTCATGTTCAGTTTATACTTTATGCTACTTGACTTCACTTTCATGCAAAAATGTGCTTTTTATCCATAACAATTATCTGACAACTGTGCTTAATTTGCAGATTAAGATTTTACATATAACGTGATACATTGTTGAAGATGAACCTACCCTACAGTATTTGAAGTAGTTAAAATTAGCTTAACCGTAAACAGCTACAACATAAGAATGCATACTTTTTGTAGTTAATACAGTAATATGCCCATTTTGCCAGAAGAAAAAGTTGTAAAAGGGCTTTTACTTATATAGTGTGGCAAAGCAACATTTACTCAAGTAAATATTCTAAGTACTTCGTCCACCACTGGCTGTTGCTGTGAATGCAAGAAATGGATTTCAGAGCAAAATAACTTGGGGTAAGAGAACAAATACCATTGCTGCACATAGTGGTTTGAAAAGATACTACCACAAGTTTAAGCTTGTTTGTAATATTCAGTCAGTTTTGTGTTCTGTTCTAAGTTTAAGTCTGCTTCTTTTGTAATCCCAGTAGAAATGAAGGGACTGTCCAGTAACAGAGAAACCTCTTTTGTGAGCAGACCCAAAGAAACCAATGTTACCCACTGTGTCTTGGGAATCTCCCAGAGGAGAAAAAAAAAGGTCACAATTATGCCTCCTGTCCCCTCTCCACCTACCCCTACCCATTCTCTCCCTTCAACAGTCCAATTAGAAGGAAGGTCTGTGAGGTTTTTGTAAGTGAGGGGTTTTGCAGGGGGGTGTATATGTCTGTGTGTGTATGAACGCGCAGGGCTGTCATAGCTGCAGACCACCAACACATTTTCTCCCATCACATGGTCTTTTAAGCTCAGGTTTTAGTAGTTGAAAGAAATGCTACATCCTTTCTTACTTTTAGAATCTGCTTTTTTGGCCTTGTCCTTTTTGTACTATATCTAGGTCTGGGGATTACTGAAGAAGCAGCCCTCATCTAGCACACTGATCCAGCAACTTTAAGCTCTGCAGTGCTAAGAATCTGCAGGATTCCCCTCTAGGGATCCCAGGCCTTTGAAAAACCTACACAGCTTAGTCACTGTTCTTCCTCACAGAATAATTAATCCCATTAAGTAATCAAAGGAGTGAGGGGAGCGGAAACCCCTCGAAAGCAAGGGTTCCACTTGTGTATTCTGTAAAACACTTAGCACAAATCCACAAAATAATCATAATTTCCAAATGTATGGAAATACTACAATTTAATTTCAGCTGCAGCACCATTGCTACTGTATTGTCTTGGCACATAGTTTGCAAATTAGAATACTATGGTATTTTCATGTCACTTTTACCAATGCTATCAATGGCTACACAGAAAGAATACAAATGTTAATATACAATATTATATTATATACTTTATTTGCAGTGGAGCTGTCATTTAGCCCAGTCTCTATTATGTTTAATTATTTACTTGCTGTGCTAGCAATATTTTGGATGGATCAAATGACTATGTGTAATGTAAAAAAAAAAAAAAGGTTGCAGTTCTCATCTCTATGGAGTGTTTAAGCCTCGTTGAGCTCACTGTTTTGGTTTACATCCCGCAACCTGTTTTGGTTCAGTCTTAGAGGTCTAATCACCATCCTTTCCATCAGCAGTAGGCAGCTGCTCTCAGGAGGTGGTGCAGACCCAAACAGAGCTAGATACGTGTCCTCGGTGTGTCTAAAGACCCCCAAACTATGAAAAAAAATCCTGTCTTGGGCTGCAAATTCATTGCAGCCCTTCATCACATCATGTACGGATCTGGATAGCATAGGATCTCCTCCAGCCCTTCATAGCAGTTGACGGCCCTGCCCACTGAACGCGAACTGAATACACCGCTCTTAGCCCCACCATCCAACACAACACCAAGCGGCCATTCCATCCAGTTAATAGGACAGCTAGCTGTATGGCTAACTGAGTTAACTAGCTAGGAGTAGCTACTGTTTGCAGCAGTTACCAGCTGAACTGCTAACAACAAGTAAAGCTGTCCATCAGTAACTGATAGTTGAGGAACAGTAGCTAGAGGACATCATAGGGAAAACCAGAAAATCTTTTCTCCACAAAATCTGATCCAGTTTCACCAAAACCAGTAAAAAAAAGTTAGAAAGTCGTGTTTTGTACAGTAATCAGTTGGCCTAGTCTTGCATAGCCATCCCTGTCTCCAAACTTTGATTCAGTGCTATGCCAGCTAGTTCCTGCCAAGGTTATTATAGTTTTGGATTCTACAGTAGTTATTTTGTTTTGAGTTTTGTTTTCAATCTCAGCTTAGTCTTAATTTGTTTTTAACTTGGGTTTGCTAGGTTAGTTTAGTTTTAGTTTATTGAAAATGCTTTGTTTTAGTTTAATTTTTATTAGTTTTTAGTGTTAGTTTTAGTCTTTGTCGCAGCATTACACCAGGCAAGTGGCACAGCTAAGAAATTGGAATATTGTGTAGCTCTCCTTGGAGCCACAGACAACAGGTCCCCAAAGCCCTGAAGGTATATTAAAATCTAAACCTTTAATAATCAAAAAATAGGTACGTGACCATTAGACACGTCAACCCAGCGCAAGGGAATAATATACTAGGGGCAAAATTATCACACAGGCAGGATGAGCACTAAGCCAGACCGTAAACAAAACAAGGAAAATAAAACCACAAAGGCAGTGACTCACTACCTGCAACCCAAACTAAAAATAATTACAGTTAATTATAAATAAATAGTTAACTATATAGGTGTTGCATTTATATTACTTTGTACGATTGTATTTAGGGTTGCAAAAAATAGGATGTGAACTGTATTTTATTAACTTATTAATTCAACATGTCCATAGCTTATTAACTATAAATAGGCTAAATCAAATGCTTTAATAAGATTTGATTGAAAAGACTTTTGCAAAGGATTTTCCATGAACATCATGAACATAAGTGGATTAGAAGTAGTAGGCTTGTGTGCAGTGTTGGAGCATGTTAGGCCTACTTCCTTTTATAAATGTTTTCTTGTCAGAAGTACACGACTCGTGCAGCACAGAGTATCTGTTTGTCTTTCAAACTGCTACAGTAAAACTATGAACAGAAAAAGCTCACTCCTAATGAGTTCCACAGAGCACCTGTTCTTTCAGAGAAATTGCTAATGAACTTGAGTAATTGTAAAGGGTGGTGTGAACACAGATTTTGGTTAAAATATTTGTCATTGTTTGCAGTTACCATCCAAACAATGAAACCACACATAAATAACCTACAAACATTTCTCAATTAACCATTTTTATGATTTGTCAGTAAATATATTTATGTATTTATATAATCAGTTTTTATTCAGCCAATTGTTAATTTTATAGTATTGAATCATGCAATTCTATAGATTGGTTAACACATACTTGTTATTCTTCACATAGGGACAATATTTTAATAATTAAATGTGCATTAAATAGCCTATATCTCTCTCTTATCTCTTATTGAATTAATGCTGATATGTCTGACTGTATACCTTTAAAAAAAAC